GATTAATATATCAGTGTCTCTCTCTGCAGACCGCCACGGGGCCTTCTGTAACAAGACCTGCAATGATCACGAATTCTGTGCAGAGTCATATACTGGAGAAAACCAGTGCTTCTGTCGGGCCAACTTTGCCTGTGAAATCAGAAACAGTTATRCTTATGGTACGACAGTGGAGACAACAACATGACATCAGGCCTGAASTGTTGGAAGGAAACTTCTAAGTTTGATTTTTCTCCCCAACATTGTGATCTTCAGGTCATCCACCAGTCTGCGTAAAGAACCAGGCTTCTCTGACTCTGTACAACTGTCTGCTGGTGGAACAAAACATTGACTACAAAGTCTTACACCTGAACGACCCGAACTGCAGAGGTCAACTGGACGAGAAGGACAACACGGTGACCTTCACCTACACAAGTGACACCTGTAGAACACAGATCGTGGTGAGTGGTCCTCTTCAGATCTTGCGCGTTGTGATGCCGAAGCTTGGTGCAGTTTACTTGGCATCTGAAAATTCATTTCCTCAAAGGTATTTTTAATCTGAAAGGGCTGTACTGAGAAGTTGTATTAGGAGCTCAGCAGACATGGTTTTCACCAGGTGTTTGCTAGTTGTTCCTGCCGATAGCCTGCAGGAGTCACGCCATGGGGCGGGGGTGTGTGTGTGGGGGGGTGCTCCATGATGAGGAAGCTTGGTTCGGAGACACAGCCCAGAGGAGTGGCTGGACACAAAATGCGGTTCTAGGCTCAACCTGTCATTTTTGCTCTCCTGTCTGGCTGCCTCGGGACACTACAGCAACAAAMATGCATAAATGAGTCAAAGCAAGACTCTGGGCATGTTTTTGATGACAGGATAACATTATAACGTGATATAAAACTCAAAAATGTTGATTTTACATCATATTCCCCCTTTAAAAACTTATTTAGTAACAACATWTTCATGTTTCACTTGGCAGGACAATGGCACAAGCATCATCTACAAAAACACYGTCATGAACCAGAACGTCACTGACGTCATCACTCGCCACGATATGGTCAGGATCGACTTTTCCTGCTACCAGACCCAGCCGGACATCCTGACTAAGGCCTTCACCATCATCAATAAGTGAGTGTGGTTCCTGTCTGTCTGGTTCTGGTCCTYCTGTTTGTAGTTATGTGAGAAGTATAAATGTGTTCAACATTAGACCAAATGAGGAAAATACACTTGTGCTTTTATACAATCTTCAGTGCAGGTCAACAATTCAACCCAAACTAAACCCAGYTTAGGATTACTGCCTGCTGCCCTTTTTCAAGTTGTGGAATTGGATATTTCTAAATGTTGTAAATTTTTACCAGAAACCTGTTTGTCTCCTCTGCAGTGATTATAAAGGGGTCGTTGTATCAGGACCTTGGACTTATACTCTGTACATGGAGGCCTACATTGACGATGGTTGCACAACACTTGTGGACACAAATACKCCAATAAAGCTGAACCAGCAGGTCTGGGTCAAACTGAGCACTACAGGGTTGAACAGAGATGTGGTTGTCCTGGTGACCGACCACTGCTGGGCAACTGACCAACCATCACCTATGGAAGGAAATAAACTTGACCTGATCGAGAAAGGGTGAGA